AGCACACTTTTCGGCTTCTAATTGTACAAATTGATGCAATGGTAGCATATAAAGCAAAGCATCCAATGCCTTCGATGGTGTACTTCTCATTGCACCTGTTATTGAGAGAGTTGCTAACCTTTGGAGTTTACCTAACTTTCTCTGAGCAACACTCTCTTATGTTTTTGGTCACCAGACCAATGCACCATAAGTAATCCTGGGTTTCACAATTTCCGAGTAAATCCAATGGATCATTTTCGGTTTCAGTCCCCACTGTTTACCGAATGTTCTTTTGCATATCCATAGAGCATTAGTAGCTTTGCAGGCAATAACCTGCTCTAGATGCATATTCCAATTAAGTTTACTATCGAAGAATACTCCAAGATATTTGACAGCATTAGAAAGTTCCAAAAGTATGCCTTTCAATCTTATGTTGTCTAATTTCTTCCTTCGGGTAAATGGCACGATAGTAGTTTTAGAAGGATTTATGTTTAATCCTTCCCTATCACACCACGATGAGACAAAATTTAAAGCAATTTGCATTCTGCTAGCGATAATACAATCATATTTGCTACGGAAATTATGACTATATCATCTGCGAAGCCAACTATTTCGAAGCCTTGGGCTATTAAATTTTTGAGAAGATCATCAACTATTAAAGACCACAATAGAGGTGATAACACGCCTCCTTGCGGGCATCCTTTGGTTGCTCTTACACTGATGAGTGAGCTTCCAAGGTTTGCTGATATTTCTCTTTTTGATAACATTTCATTGATCCAATTTACAATGCTTTGATCGAAACCACGTTTCATCATAGCTGTAGTCATTGAATCGTGAGATGAATTATCGAATGCACCTTCAATGTCAAGGAATGCAGCAAGTGAAATTTCTTTTGCTTCAAAAGATCTTTCTAGTTTTGTAACAACCGTATGGAGTGCTGTTACTGGTGACTTACCTTCCTGGTATGCAAATTGATATTTGCTCAGAGGATTTGTAGCTAAATATGATGACTTTATGTGTTCATCTATTGTTTTTTCCATTATTTTTAGCAAAATAGACGATAAGCTTATTGGCCTGAAGGATTTTGGTGAAGTTTTATCCTTTTTATTAGCCTTGGGGATAAATATAACCCGCACTTGTTGCCGGTATATAGCTTAATATTAAGCTTGCTCGAAATATCTTTGTTAGAATAGGCATTAAAACCGCTTTTCTCTTCTGTAGTAGTACAGGAAAAATTCCATCCCTACTTGGTGACTTGAACGGTTCAAAGGAGTCAATCACCCATTCAACTTTTCATTCAGTAAAGATTTTGTTGGCCAAAGTGCAAGCATCAGCTCTTTTTCTGTCTAACTCAGTCGTTTCATTCAATATTTCATGAATATCCGTCCTGGTTTCATCGATACCAATTGCTGTTGTCGTCACGTTTTGGTCTTCGTTTGAATTAATAATAGAACATGGAAAATGCGTTCTCATCATCAACTCTAACGTTTCATTTGTAGAAGTAGTAAAAGAGCCATCCTCTTTTTTCAAAGAGCCCAGACCATTGGAATGATCTTTAGCGAGTATTTTCTGCAACCTAGCAGTTGCTGGAGTATTTTCAATGTTCTCACATGTATGCCTCCAGTGTATCCTCTTTGATCTCTGTATTTCCTTATTATAGGTGGTGAGGGATTCCTTATATTGTTCCCGCTGTTGTGTTCGTTTAGTCCTATTGAAAAGCTTCCGGGCTTTTCTACGAAGTTTCTGTAGCCTGTTGTTCCACTTAGGTACATCCTTGTTTGTAGAGCGTTCCTTTTCGATGCAACTCTCATAAAAGGCATGTTGGATCAAATTTGAAAGTTGTTTAGAACTATTCTCAAGTTCTTCACAAGTGTTTAAGTTAATTGCTATCGTGTCTCTTCCTGCCACTAGCTCTGAAATATATAGCTCCCAGTCTGTTTTCCTAGGATCTCTAAAAGTTTGTATGAGCTGTTTACCATGAGGCTAATATTTGCTTGTGATCAGACAAAAATATTTCGTCTGACACATACCAATTTTTGATTTTGTCTGAGATTATTGGACTACACAAAGACAAATCAAGAACTTCTTGTCTAATTGCATTTATAAATGTTGGAGCATCTCTTCTGTTACATATATCTATATCATTGTTAGAAATATAATCTAAAAGATACTCACCTCTGATATTGATGTCCGTGCTAACCCATATTGTCTGATGAGCATTTGCATCACAGCCAATTATAAATGCCTTATTTTGTTTCTTGCAGTATGAAACAAACGTCGCTACTTCTGGTGGAGGTACATCTCCCAAGTCTCCTGGAAAGTATGCTGAAGATATATATATTTCCGTTTTCCCGTGAGTTGTTGGAACCTCCATCAGGACCGCAACAATGTTTCTTTTTATAAATTCTGTAATAGGAACTAAATTTACTCTTCCATTTACTAAAATTGCAGCTCTTGGAGCTAAGTGCCCTTCATCGTAAATTAACTTACTAGATTTTGTAGGAACTCCTAATATCGTACTTTTATTTGTCCATGGCTCCTGGATAAGAGCAATGTCCAGTTTTCTCTCTGTGAACCTTTTACAAAGTACAGCAGTTGCTCCCTTTGCATGGTGAAGGTTCACTTGAACAAATTTATTTTTATTGTTGTTGAAGTTGTTGTTGTTCGCCGCTCGCATGGGGATTTAGTTCTTCCCCAACATTGGTTTTGCGGTTCCCCTTATTTGGATTCTTTTCAGCTTGGATCCTAGTAATTTTGTATCCTGGCTTCGATCCTTGTTTTTGTGGTGTATTCTTTTCTTTTCTTATGTCACCGACTGTATTTGATGAAAATATCTTAGTAAACATCATAAAGGAAATGCTTCCCTGGCTAGTTATTAATGGTGACTTTAGCTACACACTTAACAATAACTAATTTTACACGAGACGTAATCCATATTGGACGTAAATCATGGAACGTAAACAAACTTTTCATGTAAAATTAGGTGTTCTCAAACCGAAACATAAGCAACTCGACGAAAAGAACGTTTGATTGAATTGATTTTCACGTTTCTTTCAACTGATTCTTATGTCAAAAGGGCCGCTTACATGTGTCGGTCTCAGGGAACCGAAATTTACACGACTTTTTCGTAGTGTGTATTGATGCCGAACAAAAACATTGAAATGTAAGTACTTATTAATTTCGCAACATTTAAAAAATGTATGCGGATTGAAATTAACATTTTCTAGGCCCTTATTGTAAAGAACAATCAAGCGTTTTGGAAGTACGAATACTGCATATAAATGGTTTGAAAACTATGTGTGTGACAGGACTCAACGGACTGTTTTTAATAATTATGTTTCAAGTCCCGTGGGTAATAACCTTGGAGTGCCCCAGGGAAGTATATTAGGGCCCCTGTTATTTATTATGTATATCATTGACTTGCGACGTATTTTACGATTTTGCGACATTAATCTTTTTACAGATGATACTGTGCTATGCATTGCAGCTAAGAATTTAGATGATGCCGTTTTACACTTGAATGAAGATTTGCGTTCTCTTAGTAGATGGTTGAAGCACAAGCAGTTGAAATTGAATAGGGTTAACTACCCCATTTCCAGCCTAACCCGCTAGCGCAGTTTAGCACCAAACGGAATGTTATTATTACTGATGGCTTTCAAATTTATTTACCTTTCCGTATGTACCGTAAGATTTGATAAAGAGAAACCAATCGTTAAGATATTGTCAAAAGTCTAACTCTGCCTCTTGACGCCAAACTCGGCCTACGGATGCTAAACTCGGCTCAACGCTTTGAAATTTATTCGGTCGTAGCGCTTCTTTTGTTTTTGAGAATAATGGGTGCAAACCTTCATATCACGCGTTCTCATTGTCTACGTTCCGTAGCTTATTAACTAAAGTATCGTACCAAACGCATAATTGACTTGTTAACTCTAAAATCCTGGATTTATTTGAAGTTTTCTGCTGTTTTTGGGAGATTAAATATCTTGGCGTGATTACCCAAGTAACCATAGGCACCTTATTTCGCCTGTTTGGCTATATACGGGCCTCATCAGAACTTGTAAACACTGGTATAGCCGTTGGTCAGCTGTACATAGCCAAAAAGTTCAACTCTCACATTGACAATATGACCAAGAAAATTGCGAAAAAGTATGAAGAAAAAAGTATGGAATTTTATGTCGACGGAAAAACGATTCAATTGTAGTGGTAAGCGTGACTGCTTTCTCACCCCAATGGGTCTGGGTTCAATCTCAGCCGAGGTCGGTAAAAATCTCTGGTCACGTCTTCCTTCGGAAGGGAAGTAAAGCCGTTGGTCCCGGCCCATGTGTGTTGAATGGGTGCGATATCCTACGCAGGTGTGAAAGCTGCCTTCCTGTACATTCGATTGCCGTCAATTTATGGCAATCGATATCCGTCGATGATTGGCACTAGATTGCGGAACAGAGACCAACACGAAACGAAAATCAATTATTTTATTCATGTGTTTAACTTATACATTTTTGCCAAAACTCAGCCTTATACATTCCATAAGACAAACCACATAGGTCCTATAAGACCGCATAAAAGGTATGTGTGACCGCTTATACATTTTATTTGACACATGATCTTCATTAGCTTTTTGCAAGGCGTCTGCTTATTAGTTGACTTATACATTTTATGAATAATCAGCCATAGAAATTTGCCAAAATGTATAAGGAGATTTCTATCCGTGAACGTTAAATAATTGAAAGAAGAAGACAATCAACTCTCCGTTACTGCATCTGTCCCAAACTCGGTATTCTCTAACTCGATGGAAATCCAGGCTACTTCGATAGCTTTTCGCGTACAAATTTCCAAAAGTTTATTCCCATAGCTCTATATTCTCCCTAACGCGATGGTCCTTTCAATATCGAGTTAGGGAGAGTTAACTTTTTAATGATAACTAATTAACTGTCTTCCAATCTTGACATATTTGAAACATTGTTAATCATTCATCAAGTTTTATTAAAACCATGCTAATCATTACAACCAATGATTCATTCCAGATTGGAAAGCTCCTACATCCAAGTTCGGCGAGAGCGAGACAACCTGGTACGTCAGAATCGGGATTCGGTCGACTCGAAAACCGGTCCCAACGAGGAAATACAGAAGATGCGCTCCGAAATGGAGCTCAAACGGAAAACGTTTGAGGCTCAGTTTATAGAATATGTAAGTACCTGTAAATCTCCCGCATTATCCCCGAATTCTTCGTCTGCACACTGTCTAACAAATCGTATAACTAAACTAATTTGGAAAAAAGAGTAGCTTTGTTATTGTTTTTCCCTTTGGCGGTAGTAGCTTCATAACCTTTTTTGTACAAATGATACAGAAAAAAGGCATGCACCTTCATTTGATGTTATGCGGTTTGGTAATAGCACAGTTAAAAAAAACTAGCTTTGTCGTCAATAAATTCTAAAAACCCCATAAAACAAACACCTCTAGAAATCACTTACGGAGCAGGAGCTTTCGCGCGCTACCAGCGAACAAATCATAACGCTACAGCTGGAGGTAGACAGACTGAAACAGGACCTCGAAGAAGCGCTGAACCGTGCCGAGCGGGCCGAGGAGGAGGTGCGTGAACTGCGGCAGCAGCTTCGCGTCAGTCAGCTGCCGGAGAGTCAATACTACTCCCAACTAGATCTAGACAAATTGAGTCTCCGAGGGGATGGCGACAACGAATCGCTTCTGTCCTACGTCAGTGGGTCAGTGGTCAGTGCTGCAGCTGCTCCACCTCCTCCACCTCCACCTCCACCTGTTCCTCCTCCACCGCCACCACCCCCGCCGATGGCTGGAGGAGGAGGAGGAGGAGGAGGAGGGCTAGGACTGAGTGAAGCAATCTCGACGCAAAAATTAAATCACGTAGGCCTAAAGCATGTAAATAGCAGACAACAACAATCAACAGGTAGGTCGTGCGCTGCGTATCGATCGCTTCGGTGAGGGGAAGGGTACAATAGGCTATTTTTCATCGTCTGCTTTAGTCCACCCGTTTCATTATATGCATGGCTTCCGGTAGTAACTAACACACTCACAGCATCCATATGGCAAATTCCAACCTACTAACAAAGCGGCAAAAGGACACTAAACACTGATTCCGAGGATGTCTGATTGCATCCATGTAGGAGCGAAAGTGCTTTTTGAACTTGTTTGAGAGCACTGTGTAATTAGGTTTGCTCTTCACGGGCAGGCGAAGGCCTGAAATGCATGTGTCCGTTTGTTGATTATTAAAGTGAGTGAATCAAAATCATCGCTTTAATAATTGACAACATTGTCGCAGTCGGCACAGACAGATAGACAACCGACGGTAATAACCATAACCGCAACCACGTTGCCCATTAAATTCATGCTAGGAAGCATTTTTGGCTGTAGATTGCATTCTGTTTCTATGCCTGTCTCCGTCGAATTGGGGGGAGTACGATTAAGTGAATTAGATTTCTCAAGTTCCTGCATTTGTAGAAGTCGCTCTTATTGCTTTAGTGATGCTACGTCTGTTTAGCAATGCGAACATAGTTGGGCAGTGGAATTATAGGGGAAAGGGCTCTAATGGTGGCTTATGGTTCTAAAGATTGGGCCCATCGTTAAAAATCTCATGTTCTTTTTTTTTTTCTTAGAACAATGTGTCATGTGCACAATACAAAATAGGGGATATTTTTGGTTGCTAATGAAAAATGTATGCTTTCCTTAGAAATTTATGTATGGGCCCAATACTAGGGACGCTTAGGCCAACATTAGCGGAATTAACCCTATCAGTTCAGTTGCTGTTAGAAAATTGCTGATGTTTTAAAGAAGAAGTCAATTCTAAGAGCAGTTCCACGCCAAATAACGAATCGATCTGATGCGATATTCTCCGTTTTGCATGAAACTTAATGCAACTGTTTGTTATGGGCAATGAATCACATTTGAGCTAAAATGCGGCCATTTTTAATCTCCCAAAAAAAAGCTATTAAATTGCGTATTAAACGCTTTTCAATAAATTATAACTAGAAAACGTCACTTCCAACTAAAATGACTTATGATATTCGACGAAGTCGAATATGAACTAAAATTACGCTGTTTACCAGTCGAAGGATTTTTAAAAAAAAAGGCAGAGATTGAAAAAAGATTTGTTAGATGAAATTGAGAGACCAATCGAAATAATTTATCCACCGAGAGTATCTACACACTTAGAAATAACTACTTTTACACGAAACGTAATCCATATTGGACGTAAATCATGGAACGTAAACAAACTTTTGATGTAAAATTAGGTGTTCTCAAACCGAAACATGAGCAACTCGACGAAGCGAACGTTTGATTGAATTGATTTTCTCATTTCTTTCAACTGATTCTTATATCAAAAGGACCTCTTACATGTTTCGGTCTCAGGGAACCGAAATTTACACGACTTTTTCGTAGTGTGCAGTCGTATCACAAAAAGGACCAACGTAATAACGAGAGAACAACAGCGGGTTAAAAACTGATTGCGGAAATACAGGGTTAATTAGATCGATATGGAAATCCAGACGACAGAAGAAGTAGTCTTCCATCAGCCAGCTTGAGACTTAATTGTTCGCAGGGTGGGGTACAAGGATTTGTGGAAAGAGTGAATCGTGATCCGAGCTTGAATTCCCCATTTCAAGGCTTTTCTTAACAAGAATTGTTGGAATCCGCTGCTGGACCAATACCACGTTGCTCTGAAAACGCTGGTGGTAGCCAAGAATTCCAAATTCTCGAAGGAAAGACTACCCATTGCTTCAGTGTCGAAATTCGCAGAGGAATTGCACCTCGATATTACGGAACCGCAAGGGGTTGATCAGTGGAAAACAGAAATAAATCGCTACATCCAAGAAACACTATCGACCCAGATGACCATGATGATGGAACATCTAATACAGTTTTCAGTTCAACATCTTCAACAAACACAACCACGGGGTCCCACACCCATTACTGAACAACCACCTATGCCAGGGACGCCACCAACACCAGGGTGTACACCGAGACCATTACCAGCACCACTACCATCACCGCCAATTCCACCATGAAAAAACTTCTGTATGACCCCGGAACCACTTGATCCCTGAAGGGTACCAGCCTAGGCCCCGAGTTGCTGGTCTTAAGCCAACGGCAGCTTTTGGGGTGGGCACTCAAGGCCATCTGTTTGGTTCCGGGTCCCAGGGCTTTTTTTTTTCGTGGTAGGGTGGGGGGCTTTCAGATGACGGAATCCTACAAAATTCCTCGCGGACAACGGTTAAATACCTTTTATTTAATTTCTCCGGTACACTGTTGGTGGCGGTGACGACACAGGCGAGACAGGCGAAGAGCTATATAATGCCGGTAGCCGTGCACATGGTAGTGATGGTGTTACGGGAGCAGTGTGGCCGGACGGTAGTGGCCAGACAATGATGGCGGCCGGATGATGAGCAGCCGGATGGCAGTGGCCGGATGATGAACAGTCGGATGGCAGTGGTCGGATGATGAGCAGCCGGATGGCAGTGACCGGATGGCAGTGACCGGATGGCAGTGACCGGATGGCAGTGGCCGGATGGCAGTGGCCGGATGGCAGTGGCCGGATAGCAGTGGCCGGATGGCAGTGGCCGGATGGCAGTGGCCGGATGGCAGTGGCCGGATGGCAGTGGCCGGATGGCAGTGGCCGGATGGCAGTGGCCGGATGGCAGTGACCGGATGGCAGTGGTCGGATGATGAGCAGCCGGATGGCAGTGACCGGATGGCAGTGGTCGGATGATGAGCAGCCGGATGGCAGTGACCGGATGGCAGTGACCGGATGGCAGTGGCCGGATGGCAGTGGCCGGATGGCAGTGGCCGGATGGCAGTGGCCGGATGGCAGTGGCTGGATGGCAGTGGCCGGATGGCAGTGGCCGGATGGCAGTGGCCGGATGGCAGTGGCCGGATGGCAGTGGCCGGATGGCAGTGGCCGCATGGCAGTGGCCGGATGGCAGTGGCCGGATTGAACCATTGCAGTTTCAGCAATCGTGATTATGGCCAGTGTTGCTAACAGCGCACACGGGATCGCAGCAGGCACAAACACCAGAGATGGCGGCTGGTCGGATGGCGAACGTAGAATCGCTTGAGGCCCCACGATTGTGGTGGAGATAAATGTGGCTGACGGAAAACGCGGCATCGTGGCAGGTACCAACGACCGGTAAGGCGGCGGCCATGTAGAATCCCTTGAAGCCCAGCGATCGAAATTCTCATATTGAATATGAGAACCGCATATAAACCGTTCCTAACGTTCTATAGAACTGAAAGGATGGATGATTTGATAATGGTGTAACATGAACTGGACAAGGCAATGTACCATAATTATACGAGCGGAAACCGAAATCAACATCCCCATGTAAACTTCTTAGAAAAAACTGAGGATCCAAGAGGCAGAGCTGAATGCCATCAACCAAAACGTGCCTAGAAAACTCCAGGAGAAACCAAAGGAGACCTCATCCCTACGGAGTACAGGGGCGGGAGGGGACGAACAGGGCAATATTCTTTGCTGAAATTGCCACCAGTTCGACCACTTTTGGAGGAACTGTGAGAAACCGAAGAAAGTGTTCTGCCACTTTTGTGGATATATGAATACAGTTACATCTAACTGCCCAAATAATTACCTGTTCGACAACCAGCAGCAAATTTTAAAAAAACGAGGGAGATCGTAGGAAGCAACCTTTCTGGAAAACCAGCAAAACCTTCCAATGAAGGGGAATCAGAACCACCGGTCCTTGCAGAAACGCCTACTTTGCCGAGATTTGTGTGATTGAAAATTCGAAGTGGAAGTGCATGTATATACTACGGCGGCCATTTGTGCACTCTACAAGAAATCACTTCTCCTCGATTCAGATCACTTATGTAGGTCGGTTAAATTTTACCGAGTTTTTGAACAGCTGAAATAGTCAGTAAAATTTCAAATGACCACTCTCATTAGATCCAGATCTGTCGCGTTGCGGTAAAGTGACAGCTAAATATTGCCAAATCAGAGAAAAATTAGCATTTGGCGTCAGATTATCAGCTTTAATAGCATGCTGTGGCTGTCAGTTGCGTCGAATTATTTTCCCTGAAACGGCAATATATTGTCTAACTGCCAAATTTACGTCTACGCAGGAACAGCAAAATTTGTACAAGTTCGGAAAAAAATCAATTGATTTTTTACCGAACAAGTTCCGCAGTTCAAAAATTACCGAACAGAGACCTGGATTAGTGTGCAAGTGCTTAGAACGCTCCGTAAATCGTGAAGATATTTGTTAATCCCGGATCATGAAAGTTTTTCAAAGCATGTAACTTCAATCAAATTCATCTTAAAAAGAATCTGCTGATATCATGTTTAATGGGGTTCGAATCTAAATAAATCCTGAAGCTCCAAAACATCTACCATATCTATAAACTACAATAGATCACTTGTTGCACTAGTAGATTTCAAGATCTTCACTCCAGGGAGTTCTTATATAACCTAGAACACCTATTTATTTAGCATTTCTACAATCCTGTAGAGTGTTAGCTTACGACGCATTTATTTTACGAGCTTAATGTCAAATAAAGAGTTGTTTACGCTTTTATTCAACTTACGGACCCCTGGTTTGGATCACAAATCGAGGTTTCAGTATATTGTGTGGTATTTGACAGTTTTTTCCAAGGATGCCTTCCTTCAGATAACAACTTGAGTGCGGTAAAAATCGATAGAACTTTTTCAAACACATCGTCGGTACATGAGCGAGTCCGCGATCATCTCTTTTTGTCAGTGGTGGTGGGGGAATACCCCTCATCATCCCTCTCCAACGGGGGAGTTTGGTAAAGAGAGATGATCAAACCGGTTTGTACCTTCCTAAAGTTATCCTTGCTCGTTTTCTACTCTCTGTATGCAATTTTCACGCCGTACTCTAACGAAACTATCAATTCTATACTTTCATCTCCTCATCTATC